TCACTAACGATTAGACTGTTATAAATTCATCTTTGTCTATCTTTAGCAAACTTAATGAGAAATTATGGATCAAAGTGTCAGCTTCTAGAAATTCTACTGCTAAGCACCAGTGCAAGGGAACCTCTGTTGGTGGTGAGCAGCGCCATGTCACCGCTGTCACCGCTGTCAAGGGCTAGAGGAGAGACAGGAAACGAGGAGGAGGGAATATATTGCATTCTTGCAATCCGCAGCCTAGAGAATTGTCCCTAGGGATCGTTTCTCCTGCTGTAAATCCTCTGGTCCTTGGTTTGAATCTATTTCTATTATAAGCAGGCTGAAAGGCCTAACAACCCCTGATCTTTCTTGTTTGGGTATTAGCTGATACCTTGAAGACACCTAATGACCTTTTGTAGTTAAAATCGGATGTGGGCTCCTGCATAGATATGTCTACCTCTGCTTGTTTGATTTCATTTTACATTAAGTAATAATTTTTAGGCTTCTGGTAGGCATTTAAGATGTGTCCACACTGCTTCATAGCTACTTGAACATCTTTGTACAGCAGATGCATACAGCTATTTTCCCCAGAATGGCCTGAAGTGGAGCCAGACCAGAGTTATCTGGGCCAACATATTTATGCCTTTCAACTATTTATTTTTTAATTAACACATTCACAAAACTATACCAAGTGGAGTGCTAGGTTTCCATCTGGCTAAAAATTAAGGAGTTTGCTTTTATTAGTGTGCTTTACTTAAGTTTGTGATCCTCCTTATCGCAGCACTGTACTTACAAGCTCACTCTGATGTTGTTTAAAACACTGAAGACTATCTCTTCAAGGTCATTTTCATATTTAACAAGTTATCTACCAATTCTGATAGTAGCCAAACAAAATCTCTTTTAATCTGTGGCAGTTTGCTCATATGAATGAAGCAAACTCTTCAGTCACTGAACCTGGTCTTCTCCTTAACAAGCAACTAAGCTCATAATCCCTTTCTTAAAACAGCTCAGCCTGCCTCTCAGTTTTTCTTGCTTCTGATATTGGGAAAGTTGTTTGAGAATTTCTTACCTTTAGTGGCTAGAAACCATCTTCTAATTTCTAGTCTACAGTTATGTGTGACCCTTTATATGTATTTGTTCTCTTAACAACATTGTCCTTTATTTCAAGAAACATTTTTTGCCCTGTTTGGTGTCTACTCTTCTTCAAGGCTCAAATCCCACCCTCTTTTAGGATGTGCCAAATAGCCTCTAGGAGAGTAAGCTGAAATCATTTCAGAAGTTATCGCAGATATCTTTTCCTTGTCATAAATTAAGGATAGTTCGTCTTCCAAAGTGTGCAGAATGAACCACCTGAGATGTCTTCATCCACTCCAAAGAAAAATCATACAGTTTATTTTAAATAATCCTCTTCTGGGCATTTAAGTTAAATGGATGACTACTGTTGAGGTGGATGATGACACTTCTTTTCCACTGGTTCTGCTGAGGGAGCTGTAACATCCAGCAAAGTAGGGAATGTGGTTGGAGCACCTTAGCTATGCTTGCAAGAGAACACCTTTCAAGGGCAACAAATAGGAGCTCCTGTAGGAGCCCTTTTCTGCCCCTGTGTCAGTTTGAATTTACTTTTCTGAATAGGAATAAACTGTTAAGTAATAATCCAGATACACTCTAAACAGCATCCTGCACAATGACGTCTCTGGTAAAATATATATTGGAAAGACCACGAGAAATCAAGAATGAAACTGCACATATTCTATAAACGTATTTCTATTTCTGTAGGTCTATCTACATACAGAACCTACATAGACTTTGTGTATGTTCTATACACAGTTCTATATTTGCTTCAAATATATGCCTCTATACAGATGCAGAACTTAATCCTGCAATTCACTCAAGCACGTTTATAACTTTAAGGAATGAGGAATGCTAGAAATGAGGAATCCCAGTGCTCTGAATGAAATTAATGTATATTCTTTTACTTAAATACTTTTGCTGAACTGGAGCCATGCATAAGAACACCTAAATGAAAATTAACTGCTACTTGCACTGAAAAACAGGTTTTGACAAACAAAAATTATTAATGTTAAATATCTGACAATGATGACAATGAGAAAAGATTCATTTCTGCTCTATTTTATGCAAGTTTCAAACCTCAGTTTACTGTTTACTTCCTCATTTTGAATATATTTTCTATGTAAGCAACCCATAGTCAGAAAAAGAAGATAAAAAAATATGTGACAACTTAGCATAAATTAAGAAAACATTTAAAGCTGCACAGAAATGCATATTCACTGGCAACATCAATAAGAAATGTAGTCGAAGAAAATCGTATGCTGAAACAAAATTATTACGCTTCACATAACCAGCAAGATGTTCAGGCATGAATCTGATCTACCAACTGCTATTTAAGAGTTTTGACCTTCTGAATGAAAATTAAACACATGCTTGCTAAATTTAAGCAGTTTTCCTGAAAAGAAGTAACTTTCTGCATGAATCTGTGGACGCTGGTAGGTCTGAGAAACTTGCCAGAACTGTTCTGCAGTCTTCCCTAACAGTTCTGCACTTGCAAGAGTAAGAGCTCATGATTCTGTATTATTTTTTCTTACCATTACAGTCCAATAATTTCAATCAATAGGGATATTTTAAATCATTTTAAATTATTAATGCTATACAGATTTTTTCTTTTATTTGTTATCTGATGATGCCACTTTGGATTAATAATCAGCATTATTTCTGTTTAATTGTTTGAATTCCAGACTAGAAGCAAATTAGACAGTACTGGTGGCCCCATTCTGTAGTAAGAACGTTTTTTGGAAGAGCGATTGCAATTTTAAAGCAACTGTTTTTTTGGTTTGGCTTACTTTCAGCTGGACTCTTACTCTGGGCTAGTTTGTTCCATAACCACCCAAATGCTAAAGCCAGAAAAAGAGTGGAAATGGGGATGGGACACGGAGAGCAAGACTCTCCTCTGTGAGGCAATTTGGATTTATGCCTGGCTAAAGTGACCATGGGACGGACGGCAGTCTGAACCACCACTGCCCCTAGGGCATCAGTAGATAGCCACGGTCCGTCAGCGACTGCTCAGATGAAAACCGCGTCCTTAAAGACTGATCCCTCATTTCAGGATTCTTGTTGAACTGAAAGCCAAACTGCAGATTTGCTCAGTATTTCTTCAGTGGAAGATGCACATTTTGGACATCACTGAAAACTGCTTCCAAAACATTTCATTTTAACTCCCACATAGGCTATAAAAGTGTGGACTTTCTGAGATTTTTGTGGGGTATTACGCTTGTTTTTATGAAACATGACAAAGCTGTACACAGATCAATCTGTCCCTACAGATTCCATGGTTTCAAGAGCTAGAAAAAAATTATTTCACTTTGTCGGGAAACACATGCCTTGATATTGTGCTCTAAAACGTTCCTATTATTCCAAATTAAGAATTTTTAACAAGCACATTTTAACAAGTAGACTGAATTACTACAGATTCTGCCTGCATGTATGCAAATATAGTAACATTGAAAATAATTCCAGATTGTAATTATGCTTTGGCAAAACTGTGATCAATAACAGATCATTTTAAAAACAAGAATTGTACAAAAATTGGTATACACAACCATAAATACGAATTAGTCATATATTTTCCTGCTAATCTTTTCCTGTCTCCACTCTGGATGGTTTTGGTCCACTACTTTACAATATGTATCTATAGATCTCAATTCAGTTCAGGTCAAGCTGTTAGGATTGTGCATGCACATATATATGTGTACACTTATTTTTTATTATTTCTTTATTCATATTTTATATTTTTATTATTTTTACATATACACATATATAAACACATATGTAATATATGAGACCCTAGCAAACATAAAACAAAAATAGTATGATTTATACAAGTTTTGTTTACCATTTTACCTGGCTCAGACTATGAAACCAGATTTAATTTTCATAACCCAGTATGCAAGTACTGTATTCCTACCTCTAACACAATGTGCACTGTTTATGTGTAGTATAAATTCAACTGTAACTTAAACATATTTTTGTGTGTTTTTAAGAGAGCTGCTGTTTGCAAGACTTGATTTGAGCAGATGCTCCACACGCATTCCTTTAAGCTGCCTTCTGTCAAATTTCCTTTAGCATTTGCCCTATTTGTAACATTTATTATCCACCTGTGAAGACAAGGCAGCTGCACAACCTCCAGCCCCATCTGCGACACCGATGCCGTAGCACCAGGCGCCGTTCAGGTTTCAGTCCCATTTCCCACCTACGCATCATACCTTGAAGCTCACCCTCATTTCTACCCCACGAGCTAAGGGAGACACCACGTATTAATCTTCATGCTTAGAGTTAAGCTGATAGCCCAGCGACTTCCACAAGCATCACACACCCATCCACGACTCTTTCTGACTTTACCTCCCAGATCTGGCTCTGACCCTCGACACCGCTCTCCACCCCAGTGACCCGAGGCTTCCTAAATTAACTCCAACGCCATCCCCTCCCGGCTTTTTCTAGCACAGGTCCCCAAAGCCACCTATTTCCAGGGAGAGGCGCGCACGTACCCCTCCTCATCCGCGGGACAAGACCCCGCCCGAGCCGCGCCGCGG